CATTTTCTTCCTTTTTTTTTTCTTTTTTTTTTTTTTTTTAGTTTGGTTTGGCTTGGTTTTGTTTAAGCGTTGTCAACATGCGGAAATTTGGGCACAAAAGAAATCTCAACCCTTACGTGTACATTGCGGTCCAATTTAACCCAGTGGCAGAGGAGTTAAAATGCCGATGCGGCTGCCTGCTTTCCGCAGGGACATGGCTGGAGCAGAGGAGAAGAAGCCGGGCCGAGGTTTCCCGGCGCCCGCAGCTCAGCCAAGCTGTTGTTTTAAAGAGCAATAAAAGTGAATTATGACTAAACGCCTTCTCACTTAATGGTTTTAGACGGGGATCCCCAGCCCCGGCAAATACGTAAGAGGATTTTTATTTGTGCATGTGTTCCTGCAATTGATCTCTTTGATGACATTCTCATTCATAGAAAGAGTTTGATTTATGACTTTCGGAAGAATTGCGTTCAGCCCTTCCAGCTATAACCCACGCATCCCAGCTCCACAACGTGTTGCAGGGCTGAGAGACAACACTCCTCGCATGGACGGACAGTAGAGCCCCCTTCACAAACCCCCACCCAAGCCCCGCTCCCCTGTGTAATGTAACCACACGCACTCACACGCGCACGAGGAGCCGTGAACGTACAGCCCGGCATCCCCTGGCCGCGGAACGGCAGAGCCCCTCTGGCATCTGTTGCTCGGTTCTAGCCCGAAGGACGGGGCTCACCGTTCGCTTTGGGGTCCGGCAACGCTGCTAGCCGGGTGTCAGGCAATTTGGTGGAGATTTCTGAAAGCCCGTCTTTGCTGCCGCCAGCAGAAGAGTGGGAAGCCCGAGGAAATTGTAACTTTACAGCAAAGAGTTTCCCCTTTTCGTTATCAGTCCTTGGCCTCGCAAGAAGGTTTAAACAGAAAAATATCTTCGGCTCTGCCCCTGCACCGCCCCTCAAAAGGATGGAGTGGAGGGGCTGGTTCCTCCCTAAATGCTTTTTTCTTCCCCCTGCGTTTCTGCCACCCTTTTGGTTTCACAGGCACTAACTTCTCCATTTCCTCTCCTCTTAGGGCTGATTTCTTGGACGGCTCAGCACGTGAGAAGTAACCAAACGCATTCTCTGTGAGCTCTGAGTTTTTAAGTTATACTTCCTGGGAAATCTTGCTGCCTGCTAAGCACTACTTTCTAGGAAACCAGGACTATTAAAAAAACCCCAATCGTTTCGTTCACGTAACAGGCTAGTTTCTGTAGGAGATGCTTATCCTACTGAGTCTCTCATGTTCTGCCTGTAACAGAGAAAGTGCTCGTTCGTGCTTTTGTTACAGCTCAGCATTTCCAAGCTTTGTATCCTCACAGAGATAAGATGCTATATTTATACATTAAAAGGACAAGTCTCCATCAAACCTGTGAAGGGTTTTAATTTATTTGGTTCGGGGTATTTTTCCGTTGTGATAACCCTTGCAATAAAGAATTTGAATGTGGTTTTTCTGTCTAATAAATGTCCTAAATTCCAAAAAGAGGAAATCTCTGAGGCAGGACGTTGGATTTTGAATATTAGTAAATTAATAGTGAAAGGGGTGGGGAGAGATATCCATAATGTTAGCAGTCTTGAAATGAGAGCGAAAGAGAGGAGAAAGAAAAAAAAGAGAAAGCTCCTTGTAGTAAACAAGAATTTATTCTACCAAAAATACTTATGACAACGCATCCTAATGTAATACAAAAATAAAAAGAAAGTGAAGATACATTCTTATGTGATCACTTTCTTACAGACCTCATATATTGCTTTCATAGAAGGACCTAGAATGTGGCTAGGTTAAAACTGAACACAACTAAAACTTCTTAAGAAACGGCAAAATGGCATAGCAGAGGGAAGTAACAAACAGAAAATACTGACCAGGGCAAGGGAGGGGGGAAATAAAATTAATTCACTGGGACAAAATAAAGAAGAATAAGGAGGAGAAAGCAGGACCCTTGGAGAGGACGTCTTTAATTTCTCAGTAATTCAGATGCTGCAAGTCAATTGTGGTGAGTGTGTCTGTAAAAAAGTCAAAACTGTCAGCAGAAATATCTACGGGACTGTCCAGAGATCCTGGCAAACTGGGGGAAACTGCATCTGAAAGCTGTAGGCAGGAATCTGTGGAGAAAACGTTGAAGTCCTGTAAAGAAGGGACATCTAGGGCCTCAGGACTGTCATTGTTCAGGCCAGCTGCACAGTTCTGGGCCATTGTTGAGAGGCAGTTTTGAACAGTGGGTGACTGATGTTGAAAATGTTTCAGATTTTTCTCATTGCTCGTTAAAGGCGAAACGGGGAAAGTTTGGGATTCGCCATTGTGCGCATTCTGCGCCTGCTGCTGGGAGAGGGCATTCTGCTGGAAAGCGTAGCCTTCCCGCTCCAAGAGAGCGCCGGAGACGTTGCTGAGGGCTTGCTCGAAGAGGGATTTCTCCTCCTCCTCCTCTTCCTCCTCCACCGCTTTCTCGGGGTCCTCTAGGCTCTTAAATTTCCCCTCGCTGTTTTGGTTCTCCTTGCACTGGGTCTGTCTCTTGTGTTTCATCCTCCTGTTCTGGAACCAGACTTTGACTTGTCTCTCAGTCAGATCCAACAAGGCTGCAATCTCAACCCTCCTTGGTCTACAGAGATACTTGTTGAAATGAAATTCTTTCTCTAGCTCCAAAAGCTGGGTGTTGGTGTAAGCCGTCCTCAGGCGCCTAGATCCACCGCTACCGCTATCGGGGATTTCAAGGGGGTCTGTTAAAAAAAGAAGAAAAAAAAAAAAAAGAAAAACACCACCACCACCACACACACCCCAAAGCATCACCGCCAGAACAGCGAAAGCAAAAACACACGGACGCACACACAAAACAGATAAATGCACGGATTGAATTTCAGCACCCGAGCACATCACATCCCGGGGAGGGTGGGGGGAGTGCTCTCTCTGCATGTATGTGTCTATATCTATATGTCCATATAGCATAAAATAGCAACTGCAACAAAATGGCCGCCTTTGGAT